TGTGGCATAGCTCACAGCAACCTCCAACTCCTGGGCTCAAGCGAGTCTCCTGCCTCCGCCTCCGAAGTAGCTGGGACTACAGGCGCCCACCATAACGCCTGGCTATATTTTTTCAGTTGCAGCCGTCATTGTTGTTTGGCAGGGCCCAGGCTGGATTCAAACCCGTCACCTTAGGTGTATGTGGCTGATGCCTTAGCCACTTGAGCCACAGGTGCTGAGCCAAAACAAATAACTGTTACACTCCCATTATATTATTGGATCTTTAAGGAAAGTTACTAAGAAATAATTCAAAGTAAGCTTTGACTTCATGGAGTGAAAGGAGTGATGAAGCATTCACTTATTTTTCAGGCTCTGCCCCTTATAAAAGAAGGCTTTGGTTGAGGTAAACAGAAAAGGGAGGTGTAAACTATGTAGAAAAATGCTGTGTCATCCGAAACAGCTTCTGAAGCTTAGGAAATGCTTCCTGTTTAGGATTTTTTGAAATAGTCTGGTGCATAATGACAGCTGCAAGGATAAACTATTTAGTACTTTCTACTCCTTCTGGATTAACACTGTGTATGTGGATGATCCTTCAAGTCTTTCTGGTTCAGAATTGATAAATCTCCATGGATGGCTTTATAATAATAATGATATTTACCTTTTAATGAGAGCCAGATGTAGTAGTATGTTCTAGTTTGCATTTTTTAAATGTTATTTTTTTTTTAACAGCTGACAAAACTGAGTCTTAGAGGATTTTTGGTAACCAGCCTATGACTCTGCTTTCTCAGTGGTAGAGCTGGGAGCCAAAACCAGTGTTTCGTTTCAACATTGTTTTCTTAGGACTCTTTACTGCCAGTACCTCATATCTTCACAGCTTTGTTTCATAATTCTAGAAGTGAAAACTTAGACTTAAAAGGGTTAAAGCGTTCACTTTAGGATGCATAAATCCAATCTGACACTTGAAGTTGGAGCACATCTTCTGACTGTAAGCCCTGTCTATACCCAGCTTTCTGATTAAATGCCTGGACTTCACCAAGACACTGGAATGGGCCCTCTAATTCCAGCAGCCAGCCCTTGGAGTCTCTTCTGCTTCTCTTGTGTGCAACATGATATTGTTGCTTTTATCGTGAAATGTAATATCAGAGCCCAGAATGACTTCAGGGAATTAACTGTGCATGTCAAGAGAAATTCTAGTGAGAGGATTTTCTGTGAGAAGGACTTTAACAATGGAAGGAATAAAAAAGATTTTCTGTTTTGGATGAAATTTTATGAAAGTGACAACTTCACTGTGAATTGTTTTCCTTTTAAGTAACTTTGGGCTGGGCTCCATGCTCAGTGGTTAGAGTGCTGGTCTTATAAACCAGGGGTTGTGAGTTTAATCCTTGCTGGAGTATCTGGCTGCTTTTAAAAAATTAAATAAATAAATTTTATGCAAAAATTCTTTTGTAATACAGTTTCTCAGAGACATTGTTATTTTTCCTCTCAGGTCATTGCTAGAATCGTGGATGGAAGCAGATTCAATGAGTTCAAAGCCTTATATGGAGACACATTAGTCACAGGTATAAAGGTCAAGAATCGAAAATCTGAACATTTTCTGCTGCTCTAAAGCAATCTTTCCTCTCAAGGCTTTGATACACTTGGCATGAGCTCTCTTATTTAGAGCACTACAAATGTGTGAGTCAGTTTTCAAAAGGAGCTGGTTTATACAATCAGATCGATTGTAGCTGAGTGTCTTCGTGGATCCAGAGTTTAAAATGATGATGGCTAATGCTGTGGTGTTAGCCCTTATCCACGACTTTGTGGCATTAGCTGTGTGGAAAGGTTCTTAGAGTAAAATCGGGAGAAAAGTATTTGTAGTTCTTTCCATTTCTCTGGGTAACTATAATTCTTTTGAAAATTTCAGCACTGTCCTGTTCATCTAGGAGGTTTTATATGATGATTAGCTTCCCAGAAGATGCAGAGTGAGTTAAACCTTCTTGTAGCCTTTGTGTAGGTCTTAAGCTGTTTCAGGCAAATACTGGATTGATAATTCAAGATATTATACCATGTCTGGGAAAACAAAATTAGGATATTTATAAAAGATAATTCTTTTGTCTATAGTGTTAAGTCCATAGGTCTTTGAAGAAAAATATTTGAAATAGATGCTAAACCCATAATAATTTATCTTGGGCAAATGGGAGAATGAATTTTGTGGATTTTGCTTTGTCATAAAATGCTTGAAAATCTGGTAGTCTGAAAATAACAGAAGCAGGGAAAAAACTAGCTGCAGAAATCCATATTCCGCGTATACACTGAGGCTTAAGAATAAGTCACGGCACTTTCCCCTAGTTTGATTTGTGAGCAAGAGAAGGTTCACACCAGGAGTGGAGTTCATGTTTTCATATCCTGTGTTAAAGTGAAAGAGAGCTTTGTGTTTGATATATAGACAGGATTTGTCACCTATAGTTTAGGATGTAACTTGCATTATGCAGCAGTTTAAAACGCATCAAAATTGTTTCTGGTCTTTCTAAAGATGGATGGGCTGTCCTTGTCCTCTGCTTTTACGGATTT